TCTGTGTGCCGTGGGGTCGGTGTGTGTGTGTGTGTGTGTGTGTGTGTGTGTGTGTGTGTGTGTGTGTGTGTGTGTGTGTGTGTGTGTCTGCAGCTGCTTCTCTTTTGCTCTCTGAGCTCAGGAATTTGAGAGTTCCTGCTCCCTACAATGAGTTGGAGGGGGAAAATAGTGCGTCTTTCTCACTTAGGAGAAATAACACATGGAGTCATGGAGCACTTGAGATATATGGCCAGACCCTGCTCTCCCAGAGGTGTCCACGGTGTTGAATTCAAAGCAGTAACTCTTATTTTATTCCAGCATAAAGAACTAAGAATCAGGCCCCCTGCCTTCACATCTGTTTCTGTCTCTAGTGAGTGAGGGACTCCAAAAACACATCTGTGGATGGGAGATGGTGTTTAAAGTAGGGCTGACCAGCAAAACAAATATTCCATTAACCACGATGACATGCACCTGGGGTGTCAGTGCTGGAGACAGGAGGTGTGAGGGGCTGGGGAATGTATTTACTGGGTCCTTCCTTTAAATAAAAGCACTGTCTATTAAACACACAGCAGCACTGGGCACGCCTGCAAACATGAAGCCGCACTTCACTTGAAATGTTTATCCTTCTGTCCCGAAGGCTTTGTGGAATATATAGCTCAGTGTTACTCAATTTATTCTCCCCTGGAGGAGACGTGGACCAGCTGGGAAGCTCTGAGCTGGATCCATGTACTTTTCCTCCCTGGTGACAGCTGGCTGCTTTTGTCTTTTGTAGCCTGACTCACCTCATCTGCCACACCTGCTTTAAGCGGCAGGAGAAGCTCCATCGTTGCGGTCAGTGCAAGTTTGCTCACTACTGCGACCGGACCTGCCAGAGAGGCGCCTGGCTGAATCACAAAAATGAGTGCTCTGCCATCAAGAAGCATGGGAAGGCGCCCAATGAAAATATCAGGTGAGAGCAGCGGGTACGGCTTGCTGGAGTGCTGCTACGAGGTCTGGAAGGGCCAGAACCATCTCATTCTTTTGGTTCCTGGTTGGGTCTGAACCCTGATGCCACAGGAAGGACGGTTTCCCTTCCAGGGTTAGGAAAAAATTCATAGTTCTTTGCAGCAGTGACACCTCAGCATGATCTGGTTACAAAGGGCTAGGAGCACCCCCTACCTCATAGCCTGGAGGGGCTGGACTCCATCATCTCCCTTCCAAGTGTCTACCTCTGTGCATCTGGTTGCAGGCCATGCACCTTAGCAGAACACGTCAAGCTTAACTCAGCCAGAGTAGTTTTATCAGATGAGGAAAGGGAGGGAGGGAGAGAGAAATTTGACCTCTGTCCAGTTTGAGCACTGGAGGCACTGGTTTTGATTCTCCCCTGGACCCCAAGTCCCACGTTCATTGATGTCAGTGTGAACTATGAGGATGATAAGAAGATTTCGCAACAAGGTGAAATGGCATGTAGTTGTACATCAGAGACTTGGCTCAGGTGCACAGCACCATGCCCTAGCATACACAGGAAGATTGCCCTTGCAGCCTACACACCCAGGGCCAGACTGGGGAACTTCCAGAGGTCAAGGTTCAAGGAAGAAGTGATGTGGCTGGGAGCTGTAACAGATTAGGGAAGATGTGGGCAAAATATGGTCATTGGGCCAGATCTAGCCTGCCAAATGATTCTGTCTGACCCGCAGCTGCTCCTCTGAAGGAGAATTGTATCCAGTCCATGGCTGCCCTGGCTTTTGGCACCACTCGCCCTTCTCCCTTCCTCATGCCAACCGGCTGCAGCAGCAGCAGCCACTCATTGCCATCCCCGACCAGACCTTCCCTGTCCCCTAGCTCCTAGTGTATACTCCAAGGCAGGGGGTGCTGAGCTCCTGAGCAGGATGCTGCCCGGCAAGGCTGTCTGGATGCAGCTTGGACCTGCGGCCATTTGCAGACCAGACGGCCCTGCCCCGGTGAGTGGGAGCTCAGGTAACGTTCTCCCCACTGGTGAGAGGGGATGCAGGGGAAGAGGGCCAGGAGCCATGGGTTATCCAGGTTCTGCTGGGCTGGGACCTGGTAGGGGTGCCTGCTTTGCTCCTGTAGGTGGCTGGCACAGTTTCTGCCTGACCCTGAGTCCCCAGCATGTGGCTGGGTGAGGCAGGAGCTGTGCCAGCTGATCCAGCTGCAGCCATGTGGACCAAAGCAGTGCGTGGGAACACAGTGTGACACCAACCCAGCTGCATGCTGGGGACCCAGTGGGAGGTGCAGGGAGAAGGTGGGAACATAGCATGGCACCAGCCCAGCTGGGTCCGGATAGCGCACAGCTCCCGGCCCCCTTCTCTCTGCACGCCACCCCCCCTGCCCCAAGTCCCCAGCACATGGCCAGGCCAGTGGCACATTGTGTTACTGTGAGCCACCTCGAGCCACATGGGTGCACTGGTGCAGTTCCTACCAGACCTGGCCATGTGCTGGGGACTTGGGGCAGGGAAGGGGGTGCAGGGAGAAGGGGGCCTAGAGCCATGGGTTATCCAGGCCCAGCTGATCCAATGCCATGTTGTGTTCCTTTCTTCTCCCTGCACCTCCCTCCCCCACCCAAAGTCCCCATCACACACCTGGCAGGAGCCACTCCACCTGCACCCACGTTGCCTGAAGCAGTTGCCTGGTACCAGACTGGCCCAGCTACTTGCTGGGGACTTAGGGAGAAGTGCAGGGAGAAGGGGAGAACAAAGGTTATGTTCCTCTAGCCTCTCTGCCCTTAGATCACGGGTGGGCAATTATTTGGACAAATTCCCAACCAGCTTCTCACACATGGGTTGCAGAGGGAATCAGAACCACTCATTTGTGTCTCTGGGCACTTCATTAGCTATGGAGTTTCCCTTGGAGTTGAATCAGTAAGAGCCTGTGCTTTTTTTGTGGTATGCAGCACAGTGACAACCAGGCAGTCCTTGGTGTCCCAGGGTCTGTCTCCAATACATTCGTTGATGAAAATGCAAATGACAGACAAACTGAAACCTCTTCTCTTTAAAAAATGATTTCCCGCCTTGTTCCTGGAAGGACCCCAGCTGTGACAACTCCACATTTCTCGGGTCTCTTGCATTGTATCATGCTGTGCTGACCGCACACAACACTGCCGGAGGCAACAAGGGCTTCCAGTGGTTTCCAGTGGTGCTATGGGAAGTGGTGGTTTCTGCTCCATCCACTCCTCCGTTGTCCACTGGGGCTGGTGTGAGGTGGCCCTGAAGGGAGACAATTTGCATTTCACTATCACTGGCTTTAGGAAAGGGCCAGTGGCCAAAGGGGCCCTTGCCAAGGCCTGTGAAGCATCTGGGCAGTGACATGATGAAGACTGTTGGCTTCCATTTCATTGGGATGAGCCTGGTACGGGGACATGGAAGTCAGAAGAGTTCCTGCAGTGACTGTCAGTGCCAGGCCAGCCATATGCACTTCCTGTCCCTCGTATTTGACCTTGAACTCCTGTTGGACCCTATGCACTATACGGTCTGTCACAGGACCTAGGCTTTGGGAGCCTCCAAGTCTGAGGGCCTTGTGAGATCCTGATCTGCAGGACTGTGTGGCCCTGAGTGCGGGTTGTTCTGGACTGTGCCGTACTGCATTTGACCCATTTACTCAGCTCTTTGGGCAAGGACCTGATATTTGTTCAATGCCCTTCCCTGCCCATAGTGCAGTTCTGGTTCTTTTACATGAGAGAGAAGAGGAAAATGCATTAGTTGACTGGCAGACTAGGTTCTTAGGGTGAATCTGATATCTTTTATTAGACCGACTGGGATGTTCCTGACTGCTGCAAGGAGCAATTCAGAAATTAGGATAGAAGTGCTATCTCACTGGCCTTTCATTTGCCTACGCCAAATCAACTGGGGAGTCTGCTGAAAACTCTGAGGTGGGGGAAGTGTAAAAGTGTTCCTCCCTGTTACATTTGTCTCTGGGCCTTTATAAATAAATGACTCCAGCCCTAAGCTTGGAAAGAGTGCTGCCAGACTGGCAGGAAAAGAATATATTGTAAACTTCAAGTAAAACTATACACACATTATTATCACATTCAACAGAAAGTAACAAGAAGTAACTTTAGCTTCACAGGTGCAAATTCAACACATGCAGGTATCTTACATTCCCGGCAACCGTCAAGAGCTCTTGCATTTCACAAAATCAAGCCTCCTCATACTGAGCAAGCTAATCACCCCTTAAAATGAGAAGTTTAAAGGGGGGAGCTGCTTTTAGCTGCACCTGGTGGAATTGCCACCTGCTTTTCCTGGGTTTAGTCTACCCATGTCATGATCCTTCACCGATCAGGCTTCCTATTAATAGCATCTGGATAAAGACACCCTTTGTGGTTCATGAGCCCAAAAGGCATTCTGAGCTACAATGGAAAGCATAGCCCAAGCTACTGAGCACTTGGATGGAGCCAGGCTAGGAGAGCTGCCAACTTCCAGTGCTTTCTTGCAGGCTGCATAGACAGAGGATGGAGACTGCAGTGCCCCTTTTAAATTAATAGTGAGGAGCCTTGTACATCCCCCACTCCGGCTCTGTAATGCTCAGGGTGTATTATCTTTCTGTGGCCCTGTTCCAAAAGGGATCCCGCTCTGGGAGGGGTTTCCAAGGGTTCCACTCCCTGTGGGATCCCCTTCAGGAGATCAGTGGTCCCATGGGGCCTGCTGGGACCCAAATCTAATTGTCTTTCAGGCAGGTAAGTACCACATACGAAGCTGTATTTAGCCACGTAAGTGGCATTTACCCTGGGAAAGTCAGCTAGCTGCTTAGGGCTTCAGTTTCTTATAGGGAAAATCCTTACAGAGCAGATAAACATGTTAAAGATTTGAGGTACTCAATCCAGTTACAGGGGCACTTTGGATAGGCCCTCAAGTAGATATATTTCATATGATGTATATCTATATATATAAAGAGATATAGATCTCTCTCTCTATATAGATATATATATGCACAGATATTGAGCTTCATATTGGCCTCAAACTGCAGCAGAGGATATTTAGGTTGGGGACGAGGAGGAGGTTTAGGTTGGAGATTTCTGACTATGTGGGTGGTCAGTCACTGGAACAGGCTACCTAAAGAGGCTGGGAAATCTCTATTCCTGGAAATTTTCAAGAGCAGGTGGGACAGACATTTGCCTGGGACGGTTTAAACAGGGGTGATTGGTTGGGATGGTTTAGTGGACTAGATGACTCTGATGTCCTTTCCAGTCCTACCGTCCTATGATCCTATTATAAAATCAGGACTTCTTACTTGAAATGACATGACAAGAGAGATGTGAACACTGGGGAAATATCATCACTGCTTCACTTTAGGAATCTTATTATATGTTTAGCATATGGCAAAGGCTGTGGATAGCTGTGGCAACCTGCAGAGGTACCCAGGAGTTATTCATGCAGCTAATTCCAGAGGTGAAATCAGTCAGAAACTTATCCCAACTGTTCCTTGTCCGAGCGCGGTGTGTTGGTCTGAGTTTGGTCACTGCCCCTTGTCAAGGTTGGGATGAGTCTGGGTGTGATTGTTTGCATTTTACAGCAGCATTTTGATGTTCCCCAACTATCTTCTTTCTTGACCAGGCTAGCTGCCCGTATCATGTGGAGGATAGAGAGAGAAGGAGGTGGCCTCACGGAGGGCTCCTTGGTGTCCATTGACGACTTGCAGAACCACGTGGAGAACTTCGGGGAAGAGGAGAAAAAAGAGCTGAGGGCCGATGTGGAAAGTTTCATTGAATTCTGGCCACCCCAGAGCCAGCAGTTTGGCATGCAGTACATCTCTCACATATTTGGAGTGGTACGTCAGCCTCCTGGGAGAACAAAGAGAGAGCTATTAATAATGTCCAAGGGCTAGGCTGATTTCAAAAAAAGCACTTGCTATGAGCCTGCAGCTATTTTGGACTCAGTAGAATTAGGTGTGAGCTTTCACCAAAGTTACTTCAGATCCTCTACAGATATTAAGAACCCTTTAGAGTGCTGGCTGAGGCTGGGATGATCTCAGTTCAAGTCCTTGTTCTGCTACAGTTACATGCCTATTGGGATTTTAGGTCTCCAACTGCTATTGAAAATGCCACTAGGTGTCCGTCTGCCCTTAAATACCTCTAAAATGTGACCTGCATGTCTACATGTGCATTAATGTGCTATAGTTACTGTGCATAAAATCTAGTACCTCCATTGTGAGGTACTAAGAAAAAGCGCATTAACTTGTCTTAATGCACATTCACTCAAGAGCATGGTTTTTAAGTGAAGCTTAATGTGCATTAATTAAATAGCACTTTTTTTTTTAAGTGATGCTTTAATGCACATTAAAATAGGCTAATGCACATTAAAGTGCACGTGACTGGATCTACTATAAATATTTGCAGTCCATTTTCACTTGGTGTAGCAGAGAGGGGAGCCACCTGGGAACTAGCTATGGCTTTGAATATGGATAGTGAATAAAAGCCAAGGAGTGAGGAAAAGAAATTAGCGGTGTAAATTATTTCCCCGTGAATAATTCATCTGAATTTTATCTCATTTTCTGTTTGTGACTCCTTTGAAACAATTAATTGAATAATTACTGTAAATAATCCTTGGTTTGTAGGTCATTTGTAAGCTGCTTATTTCCAGTATTCACTATCAGAAATGTGCTGCCATGTGAGCTAATTATTTTTATTGAGTTCATAGATCATGCCACCCTTTCATCCCTGGGTTGGGTGAAGATAATATTTAATTCCGTTTCTGCTGCCAGCATCCATTTTCATACGTCTGAAATATGCTGTTGGAGAATATTCTGCCCACCTTCCTTAAAATGCACTTTTCCCAGGAGACTCATTTGCTGGAATATTCTCAAAAAGTAAATGTGAAAAGGGCTGAGCAATTCAAATCAATATTGTTTAAAATTCTGAGTAAGCAGTATCAGAAAATATTGTGCAGCGGGTCTTAGTTGTGCCTAGGAGATCAGACCATCCATCAGCTGGAGCTGAGGTGCTTGATTTCCTAGTCTTTTGTCCTGGTTAAAGGATACTCTTTTTAGACCAACCCTTTCATACTCTCCCTCGCTGTCCCTTCATAGGCCAGAACATGAATACTACACGTTATTAAGAATCAGTGGAAAATATTCCCCAAACCTAGGCTTACAGTGAAATCCTAGCACCAGTGAAGTTTGAATGCTCTTTATTCTATGTCCATAATTCTCATTTGTGCCTATGTTTTGGGGAATAGATAAATTGCAATGGCTTCACCCTGAGTGACCAAAGAGGACTGCAGGCTGTTGGTGTGGGTGTCTTCCCCAATCTCTGCCTGGTGAACCATGACTGTTGGCCTAACTGTACTGTCATATTCAACAACGGCAAGTGAGTATGTTTCTGTTCTACGTGATGAAGGGACAGTCTGTCACAGATACAACGCATTTCATGGGTTCTGTTACTTGTCTCAAGGAAATTCCGTTTTCTTCTGGGTTGCTTGCTGGAAACAAAGTATTTTCAAAACTTTGAAAGATAACCCTTACTGATGAGCTGAAACACCAATTTGCTTCTTTTTTGTTATTTTTGGTGCCTCCAAAACGCCTGAAGCAGGGGGTTTATGAGAATTTCTCCTTGACTTGATGTTGATAATTAGGTTCATAATGCACAGGCTGTATCAATCTCACTTTATGAAGAGTTTGTAAAGAGCTAATGAATGATTAAACAGATGGATGTAATCAATCATTCTCTACTATTACAGGAGTCCACAGGTTGGGAGTTTGCTCCTAGCTCTAGTTTGTAACTCCCTATCGCAATGTCTACTGATGTGTTTATAACCATTTATAAAATAAAACTCTCAGGTTTATGGCAGGTTTATACCATCAATTAAACATTCATTAGCCCTTTACTAGTTGTATATAATGGGAACTGAAGAAAAGTATGACTGGTGTTTACATATTGAGACACTTGCCGCGGGGCGATCCCAGCCTGAACATCCACCAGTCCTACTGGAATCACACAAATTGATCCAGGCAACAGACAAAGGGATTATGATCCATAATGGACGATGTAGCTTCTGCTGACCAGATGACAGAGCTGAATGAGTTTTGCCCTCCTCAGTAGGTAGTGGGGGTTCTCAGTAATTTGCCATTACTCTCCAAGCTCTTAGGCTACATACAGGGCCTGAGCCTGATGTCACCCGCTTTTATACCAAGATGTACATTAAGCTGTTCTGAAGAACTGTCCTACACTGTCTACATCTAAGCAAAGACTGCTTTACCCTTAATTAACTGAAAGGATAAAATGTAAACAAAAGGTAACTAGGCTGGTAAAGTCTTGTCACAAAACCTACATGTTAACTCAAAATCAGCCCGGCAGTGCGCGCTTAATTAACTGAACAGAGCTTGAACATGCCTTTTTCATGTACCTAGATTGCCATTGGCAGTGTAAAGTGTGCAGAAAAATAGGCCATAACATCACACTATCCCTCTGGAAGACAAATCATACTGAGTCCTGGAGCTTTCGTCTCCACAGGTGGGGAGTACCAAGAAAGAAAAAGAAACAGCTAAGTTATTGTTGGAAATTGGGAGATGGCCCAAAGTCAACTGGACTCATAGGAGTTTGCTCACTGACTTTGGGGCTTTGGATCAAATATAACATAGTGATGTGGACCACGTAAGATCTTAGCTAGATAGTAAAGTTGGTAAGTAAACTGTGATATGGAGAGCTCTGAGGTCTCCTCTCAAGTCTTTTGGCCAGTAAGTTGTCAAGTGTGTGCTTTGTTTTGTTTGGTATATCTACATTTTAAGTTCCACCTTTTCACAGAATGTAAATCTCAAACCATATGCTTAGTTTTTTACAACGTACTTCACTTCCCTTTTTAAAAGCTATTTCAGGTCTGCTGTTCAGATGCTCATGAATTACTTGCAGTGTTATCTCTCCTTCCAAATGTTTCCCCTCCCAGGTGGAAGCCAGGGTGAGCTGCATTTTAAACTCAATGGGTAGCAAAGATGGAGCTGTATATGAATTACTTTGCATGCTCCCCCACATCCCCACCCGCAAATGAGGATGTAGATGTTCTTTCATTGATCTGCGGCAAGAAAAGAATGGGGATGCTTGTAGGCTGACATGCTACAGTAAAGAGGAACCGTGTGCATGAAGCTGTTCTGAGGAATTGGCCCACACTGTGAATCTGAGCAAATACTGCAAACACCGCAAGATGTTTTCTGATGTTTTCTGTTCCTTGTTTGGTGTGAAAAGGAAGTGATTCTTTGGTGATTATTTGCCTTTGTCTCATGACACTGGCACATCTGCCACTACAGATCTGCTCTAGGGCTGGGAGAAAGGAACTTTTCCCATTTGACCTTGGCATAGGAGGACTAGTCCACCCTTGCTGCCCCAACTGCAACCACACTGATTAGCTTCCACAGATTCCACACTGGAATTTCCTCTGCCATTTGGAGGAATTGCCAAGAATCATAGCATCATGGGCTTGGCAGGGACCGTAAGGATTTTGCAGTCTCACTGCCACATAAGCATCCATATGGGAGCTGATCCAGTGGTCTCAACCTTTTTCCGCTCCCAAATCCCAAATGGAACTGGTCTCAACAAGGCTCGGGAGGCATACATCATCTGCATGGGCTCCCAGTCCTGTCCTTCTCTACTACAGAGGTTCAGCTTTAGACAGGGTCCACTGGGCCTTCATACTCTGGTAGAACTGAGAGCGATTTGCTGTAGGCACATGAGCAAATAGCTGTAAAAATAGCCATATCAATACCCACCATATGCTTGAGCTTAGGACCTGTTCCTTTGAAAGGCCATTGCTGTTTCTAATGTTTCCCAAGTTTAAAATAACTCATTATATTAGACCCAGACTTTCAGAGCTCCATATGAAATGGGTTTGAGTTCTCAGTCCCGGGGCTTGGAACAAACATGCTCACGTGAGAAACCAGCTGGCGCTGTTCTGTGCAGCTTCAGAATTAATCATTTTGCAACATGGCGAGTCTGCTTTTCAATAAAAAGTTAAGGCATTTTAAAACCTGGCTTAGCAAGTGCTGTATTATCCAGGTAGAGTTACTCTCTCAAATGCCCTCAGAAATAAAGGAGGTCAGGCAAATCTTTAGCACATATGAAAAGTGGGTAAAAGAGCTTTTCAGTGGAATCAAATGTCATCCTTCAGGACATCAGCTTAACACTTGGGGCAGCTGGGAGGGATGCAGATCTCCCTGGAATTGGCCAGGTACATTATGGCATGCATAGTTTTTGTCTTCCTTTGAACCCCTTATTAGGTGACAGGACTAGCTCTTGTTAAAATTGGTGGGAATTTCTCCATGTCATTCAGTGGGAATTCAGCCCTCTGTGAATGCTCAAAGTAGGGTATTGGCTTCAGTGAACCCCTGGGCCAATCAGCAGGGATCCTGTTTTTCTCTGGTTTAAAAAAAAAAACAACCCAATTTTTGGTTTAAAAAAAGTAACCCCAAATCCACATGTTCCCATGATTCAGCCTCCACGAGAGAAGACTGAGAGGGGATCTGCTGGTTGTCTATAAACTCACCAAGGGGAACCAGCGAAAATAGGTGAGGATCTGTTCCTCCAGGCACCACCTGGGATAACAAGGAATAGTGGCCACAAATTGATTGAGAGCAGGTTCAGGCTTGATATCAGGAGGCATTGCTTTACGGTTAGGACTTCCAGGCTCTGGAATGGGCTCCCAAGGGAGGTGGTGCTCTCCCCTACCCTGGGGGTCTTCAAGAGGAGGTTGGATAGATATCTGGCTGGGGTATTATGATCCCAGCACTTGTTCCTGCCCAGGGCAGGGGGTCAGACTTGATGATCTGTTCAGGTCCCTTCCAACCCTAGAAACTATAATTAAAATGAAGCACACCTATACATACATCTATATATTAGTGGTGTTTCCTTTAAAACATGGAAACATGTGGATTTGGGGTTACTTTTTTTAACCAAAAATTGGGGATTTTTTGACAGTCAGAGAAAACCAGGATCCCTGCTGATCAGCTATGGCAAAAGCCATGTTTCTAATGATTTGGCTCAATTTCCCTCTTGCACAGCTTTTACACCACTGAATCTATTAACACCCCCAACATACAGAGGAGACTTAAGTCCCTCGTTCCCAAAATATGGCCAACCCGGAGGCTAGCTCATGCAATGACTACGATTTTCCAGAAATGCCCAGTCCCAGCATCTAACACCCTCTGGGGCCAGACTAACTGCAGACGCAGCCCTTCTCCCCTGACGCTTGCAAGCAGTTTTGTGCAGAATCCTCTTTCTCTCCTAGCACCGGGACAGCTGCCGGTTGAATTTGCAACAGCCCGCTAGTGAGCGATTCAGTTACAGCAGCTGTATAGTGAAAGGGGAGATCTTCATGCCGGCTGACTCCAGGGCGGCAACCAGATATGCGCTGGCCCCGGGATGTCGCTGTTCAATGTTCTGTATGTGCAGATGCCGTTTGCTTTTGTCGTCCTCCTACCTGTGTAAATTGTAGCTGTTTATTTTTTCTTTCAGTCATGAGGCTGTAAGATCAATGTTCCACACACAGATGAGGTGGGTTGGTCTTGTACGCATCGAACTCCCCCCTTTGACCTTTACCCCTCACGCCCTGTGTTAACCAAAGGCCAAAAGTGACACCGATGAGGCTGGTAGAAGCCTCTGTCTGGGGATGGTTTCTCTTGCCCCATTTTCTGAATGTCAGTCCTTGTGTCAAGTCCCACTAAACCCCCCCAAACCTTACTCACTCTGCACTTTGTAGTGGGTTAAATAAATGATGGTGATATTCACTATGAATAGGCTATCACTTGTTACTTTTCCTGTGTTTCATCCTTTTCCTCCCTTAAACTCCTCCAATACCCCCCTCCCCCCATACTTCTCACTCTCTCTCAACTGCCGTAAGAGCATGAAAGTCAGAACAAGGTCTCGCTAATCTTGTACCACCCAAAATAAAACCTAGTGCATTATGAGCTGACAAATGATTGCATTACTGACATACTAAATACTCTGTGTTTCTTCATAACAAACAGCTCCCTCTGGATGCACTGACTGCCCTGACAACACAATTAGATGTAGATTGTATCCATTTTTGTCCTCATGATTGCTTTTGTTTTTACCTTTTCATGATGCCACTGTTACCTGTTTAAAACATTTTCACGCAAGTTGTTTTTAAAGAAGTACGTGTTTATTTTTTTTAAAAAGATTCTCGTTTCAACTCGTTGCATTTGCTATATTGTAATCCGACTGGCTCAAAGGGACACTGTTGTCTTATCATGTATGGCCAATAGGATCTGTCCTCCCCAAAACAGGATATATTTTTAAATTAGAATTTTTAAAGAGTCCTCTCCAGGAACATTATCCGTTTGCTCCATGCAATCCTTTCATCTAGGACTATGGTAATGGAAAAGTGAGTTTCACTTACTTGTGTTTATAGACATTGTTTATAGACATTTGTCATGGACAATCTGGGCAATTTCACCTTCTAGCTGTCACGAATCCGCACAATTCTTCCACGATGGGGTTGCAAACATTGCCTTTCATTGGAACGTCTTATACCGGGTGGGTGCAGGTGCTGGGGGAGAGGTCCTGGAAGAAGTTATGCTTTTGTTAAGTTTTATAAAAATCCTGTTTGAGCCTTAACTGATCAACAGTGTCCCTTTAACAGTGTTCCTTGAGTTTCTAGGCTTTTCCAAAGCATCATCAATCTCTTCTACAGTGCAGATGGCTGGTTAAAAATATCCAAACACTTTATCTGCTTAGGCTACCAGGGGCATCATAAAAGTCAATAGTTTGATTCTGTTTCTCTGAGTGCATGACTGGCCTCTGTGAAGCCCCCACTAAGGCCTGAAGAGCAATGTTCTCTATGTAAACTTTTGCCATGGACATGGTTGTATCTTATGCACTTTCTCCGTAGAGTACCTGTTGGTTGCAGTTTTCTTTGGCTGTCCCTGCACTTTCTCTTGATTCTGAGATAACAACAAAGAGCTGCCCTTTATGATGATAGCGCATTCAGTGATCATCAGTGTGTTGTTGATATGATTTACTGCCAAAAAAAGGGTCAGGGCCAGCTGCAGAGGATGATAATGCTCCTAGGATTTTGATGGTTGACAGACTCAATATTGAAGCTCCTGTATATCTGTGAGCCAATACAGTTGTCTCCTGCAACTGATAATCTTCTTTGAAAAATTAAATTGTGCAGAGAAAACATGGAACTAGGTTTGCTTCTTCCCATGAAAATTCTCTGGGTTTACTTTTGGCTACGTTAACATTAGCTGTTGCTATATAGCTGGAGGTCAGAAGTCTTGCAAGGCCAGTTTGGTACTATTAAAGTCAATGAGAATGTTGCCATTGACTTCAAGAGTAGTACCAAAACTTTAGCAATGGAGAACAGTTGTTTGAATTGTTTCAAGTATGCTTGGCTATGTAAAAATATGTTTTGTCTACTAACAGAGGCTGGTAGTACAGCCCTGGTGCTCTATTCCCAAAAATGTAGTCATCTAATGTTAATAATGACTGGAATCACTAATGGGTGATGGACAGGGAGGGCCAGAAAGGGTGGAATAGATTACTCATTTTATATATATCCATACATATATACGTAAAATGTATGTGTGTGTATATATACGCATTTTACCTGTGTGTGCATGTACATATACTTACACACACACACACACACACACACAGTTGTATAAAAAAATCCTTAAGGCCATGTTTGATGGGGATTTTCTCAAATCAGATAGAAAACTTGGAGACCCAAATTCATCTCACGATTATGTGAGACTTCACTGTAGTTGAATCAATGTAACTGAGAGTAGAATTTGACCCAACATAGTAAAAAGACAAATGGTGTAACTTTGAATGTATGAGGTGTTTAGTATCCCTGGCAGGAAAGAGAGGAGAAACAGGGAAATGTAAGAATCTGGATTTCTTTAAAGGTGTGTTGCTATTTGCTGGGGCTACCATAGATTTTGCCATAGTTGTAGAAATTGGCATTTTCTTTATGGCCAACAATGACAGTCATCATCAGCAGCAGCAATCCCTCGCAGTCAAGGATGGTTGTCTTCCATGACTGCCTTATGCCAAGGCAATGACAATAGTAATACGATGACCATAGTAACATGCTGACTACAAAGGCCATTTGACAGGCTTATTGGAAAATCTGAAAACTTTGTGAAATTCAGCCTATGTGAAAGTCAACTTTTAAGCATGGTCAGCTTTGTAAAAATATTTGGTAAGCCTTGCAGCCTTTTAAGCAGATATTGGTGAAATGTTTTGGGAAAATCATATCCAGATTTCTTACCCAGGCCCTGGAAAAAAAAATGGTCGTTCTCCTATCTGTCTTGAATCCACCCAGTATCTTTACTTGAGCAGATCCCCAGTAACAGCAGCCCTCAACTGAAGACCCACATCCAAGTGCCCATGAACATAACATAATTTTGCATCTAGATAGTACATCTAACTATACAAATGGATCCAGTTATGAACTTTCCAGTTGAGGGCCTCTTTCACTTCCCGGTGAACTTCCAATTGAGACAGAGAGAGGGAAGAAAGTTGGTTAAGGGGGTAAGTGGGACTCTAACAATAGCATGAGTTTGAGTAGCTGAAATGCTGTGCATCTCTCTGTTTTCAAAAGGTTAATCGGTCCTTTACACTAAGGATTTGCCTATGGAAGGACCAGACAGTAGAAGTTGCCTCTTGCAGTTTTGTGAATAGAGCCCTGGCCCTTGACTTTTGTGGTCTTTCTAATTCCACATCTCTTTCTGATGAAACCAGAATCGAACTGCGTGCACTAGGTAAGATCTCACCAGGGGAAGAGCTGACGGTTTCCTACATTGATTTCCTCAATGTCAGTGAAGATCGCAGGAAGCAGCTGAAGAAGCAGTACTATTTTGATTGCACATGTGAGCACTGCCAGAAGAAAATCAAAGATGACCTGATGCTGGCTGTGAAAGAAGGTGAACACAAAGTACGTCATTGACATAGTTATGGATCTCAGTTGGGGCGTATTTCCAAACCCAACAAGCAACCTTATAACTTTCAGACTTAGATTACTCTTAGTTTAGATAAAGGAAAACCAGGGGAAAACAAAAGTCAAGTCTCTGGGACAGAGAGAGCATGGTATGTTTGTCTCCTCTGTGGCATGCTAAGTTAACTGTCTACCTACATCCATGGCCTCTGCTATTATGCTAATTGAGAGCTGCACACTTTTGAATATATATTCCCTCTCAATATTTTTGCAAATGCCCAAGAAATTGGTCAAATTCGAGATAATTTTCACTGGTCCCCCTTCAACAGGTGAAGTGTGGTCTGAAGAAACTAAATCATCTCAAATGCTTTGTGTGTTGTTGGTGTGGGTTTACTTCCTCTGTGGATTTCATACAATGGGTCATTGTCCCTTTGGCTCAAAAATAACAATCTGCATGTTGCGTGTTGCCCGTTTTCCCTGGAGTTTGTAGAAGTCGTTTGTTGGGAGAGTTCAGGTTTGGGAGCTGTGTTTTGTTGCAGGCATTCAGTTGTGTCTCTTGGCCAGCTGCTTTGCTTTGTGTGAGTGCTGGTAGCTCTTGATTGCAAGTGACTGAAAATTGTTCTTTGACCGCTGTCTTAGAAGAGGTAGTACTGGACACAACATTATCTGCCTCTGTTTAAATTAGATTACAACAGAACTAGGGCAGGGGTGTAATCCTGCAGCATTCATTCATGCAAGCAGTTGTCAATAAAAGCCTGATCCTGCAACGGGGGTTTAATGTTTAATTTTCAGTAGGGTCAATCATCAGGTCATCAGGTCAAGTCACCTGTTGCTATAAGGTATCAGGTCACAGAAACCCATTTAAAAACTCATTAAGCCCTACTTTCAGATAAGCTAGGCTGTTCCAGAACCTTCCTTCTCTAATATTTCAAAACCTTATGGTTTCTACATCTACGTTTTATTCTTATCCATTTTATACCAATTAGTTCTTGTGCCCATGTTGCCCTTTATTTTAAATGTCTCTTCTCTCTTTGGGTGTTTAGCCCTTGATATATTGATCAGTAGTAATCATACCCCCTTGGTTTTGTTAGGCTAAAGAAGTCAAGCACTTTTAGCCTCTTCTTGTAGGGTAGGTCTCTTCCTTCCACTGATCGTCCAAGTAGCCCTTCTAGTAGTCCCTTTTCCAGTCTGGATTCATCTTTCTTGAGCATGGGTGACTAGAACTAGACACACCATTCAGGATATGTCTTGTACAAAGGCATTCATGCTTGTCTCTCTCAGCTGCCTATATTTTGTCTAATACATCCAAGGGCACATTTACATTTTTCACAGCTGCATCACATTGCTGACTCAGCACGATCCTGTGATCAACTAATACATCCAGGTCTTCTCCTCCTCTCTTAGTGCCACCTGAAGAGCTCCCAGCTTGAAGCTGACAGTCTTGGTTAGTCCCTAAATGCATGAACTTGTGCTTTGTACCATTACCTTTCATCCCATTTCTAGTCCTCCTGTCTTCAAAGTAATTCAGTTCTTCCTGTCTGATAGCCAATCCTCCTTTACACTGATTCATAGATTCATAGGTTCATAGATTCATAGATGTGATAATGCCTCCCAAGTTTCTGTCATCAACAAGTGTCATTGGGATACTCCTCCTTTATGTGCCAGGCTTCATATTAAGATCTTGAATAATACCAGTCCCAGTGTTGCTCCTTGAGGAGCTCCAATAATAACCTCCCTCTAGCCTGATAGTTCTCCTTTCAGCACAACTTGTTGTCATCTCCCCTTACCAGCCCCACAATCCCCATCTTTTGTAGTTTAACTAATCATTTCCCATGGGACACTATATCAAATGCTTTAGAAGTCCTAATAGATTGGATCCAACCCATTCCCCGCAAATCAGTTATAATTGCAAAGGAGGAGATGAGGTTGGTCTGATATTCTAGTTGCATTTTTCACCTCTTCAGCTGTTTAATATTATTTCCTTCTAAAATTGTCCTAAATTCTTACACACTGTTGAGGTCAAACAAATGTGCCGGTGTACCTAGATCCCAGTTTGCTTAAATACAGGTTTCAGGTACCCTGTTCCTGAGTCAGACAGCTTTTCCCTCAATTTCATTTAGTAGAAATCCCTGCTGTACTTGCCGGTTCTTTGAGACTTCTGGGAGGAGAGTATTTGTGCTGCCCCATATGAATGCATCTGAGATCTGAACCTCTCTTAAGTAAGGCTGGCAAGATGGAAACCTAATTCCCGGCCAGGGCTAGAAGAATCACTGCAAATTAAAGTGTTGTTTAGCGCTGATCATTTACAATAACACTTCCTCATTTACCAGTGCATTACCTGTCTGCATCTATTTTTGGCATTTCCCCCCCATTCCTCTTTGTGTCATTTGGATGTCTCCTTCAGTATGCTGTGAAAAACCTTTGGCGATCTGAGATCTCACTACAGCACTTGCTTTAAACCTTTAGCAATCAGCAAGTGAGCTGCCGTCCTCTTGTGTGCGTGGATTAATGAATGAATTGTACTGAAGTCAGCATGTGTCATTTTAAGGGCAAATGTTTTCCATATCCATCAATGACCCCATGGAAAAATAGGTACCTGCACAACATCCATGATTCTATGTATCAGAAATACTCCCCCTATGAAGATAACTAATCTTCCTGTTGATCTCAGTAGAAGGCACCATCTGTTTGCTGCAACATCTGCTTGCTGCCTGGCTATTCTTCATTCTCTGAATTCAGGCTTGCTCTTGAGTGAGTAGCAGTGCTCCCAGCTGCCTGGAAAATGCACTTTGAATGTATGCTGGAATGACAGATGACATGCTTGTCCACTATTCCTCTCTCTGATCCTTTACCCCTTCAGATGATTTGCAAAGCTGCCATTGACAATGGGACCAGAATTAGGCTCTTGGTAAAGGAATTAGGCTCCTGGTAACAGAAGTGTTATTGTAAATGATTGGAGCTAAACAACACTTTAATTTTTAGTGGAGCTTCTATCTGTGTCCAGGACTTATGTCTCCAACCTGCCAGCCTTACCCACGAGAGTATCCAAACTCCAAGAGAATAATGTATTCCTGTTGGGGAGGAAAGGCTGCTAATTTGACAAAACACATAGGCAAACAGTCTATGCTGCAGTGTGTTCTTCTGCTGTTTAAGTGATATGGCAAATGCCTGGTTGGTTCAGTAAAATAACTTGCATCAACATCAAAATTCACTTTGAACAAGGTAGGATGCTACACGTTCGAGTGGTTTAGCAGGTACGGACATCTTGTTATTTTCACTAGGTGCATTTTTATAAGACATAACCATATATATGGGTACATCAACGATTCTAAGTAAAGACCGTCCTTGCTTCCCCAATTTTAACCTGTCATGGCCCTTTGTAGCCTGGTTGTCATGTGATTACATGTGGCCACCTCTCCTGGTGCCAAAATGTAATGCGGGAGTTCCCCAAACGCCCTGTTGTGCATCTGTTAAAAAGATCTGTGCCAACATAGAGCCCTGAATCCAAACTCCATCCTCTTTTAAGAAGGCTCAGGATCTCTTCCCCAGAATCAAAACCTGGGTTCCTGCTTTGATCTTTGGTTGCACAATAAATGTTGCCAATTCCTGTGCAGTTCTCAGAGGTTTCATAATATTCAGTCTTGTTTTCTTGAAGCTTAAGTTGATGGAGTACTGTGTTTTTAAGACAATCACAGATTTCTTTTAAAAGTCTTTTGTGCACACGATTGTGAAGAAAACCTTGAAAATGGGAAGGTTCAAAAACCAGAAAGCAAAGAAAGACCCCGATTTTATTAGTTTTAATATCTTCTGATTTTTTAAGGCAATCTCACAATTCTGTGGGGCCAAATAGGTTTTGATGCTTTTTGGTCTACCTCATGGACAGGGAAAGACAACGGCACAATGCCATCATCCATGCGGAACTGAAATCTGAACACAGCCTTCTCAGGATATCTTGACCTGACATGGTAAATGATTTTCCAATATGCAAATAAAAATTAGATTCTGCTTTTTCTTGCTATAACACAGGGAAGTCTCAGCCCACAGCTCTCATGCATTGTGTGCTAGGTACATCTACAACCTTCATGTAACCCCACTGACTGCAGCCTGTTTTCTCTCTCTCACTCTCCTCATTTCATTCATGCCACCTGTATGGTGTGCCAGAGCCTCCCAATTACCAATTTTTGACATTTTGTATGGGATGGAAAACAGCAAAAAGCCCTAATGCTTTGGCTTATGTCCCCTGTGACCTCCAGCAAGCCATATAGTCAAATGCAGGTTTGAGAGGCTCTAGATTAGTACAACCAGGACTCAACCAGGCACCCACTGAAGTCAAAGGGAGCTTTATCATTAAGTCCTCTGTTGAGAAACTGCTTCTAATCGGGGCAGTGTGGATGCGACTAGCTAAGCAAGCGTATTTCAATAGCACTCTGATGTTGTTTCTAGCCCTCCCAAGACATGGTGAAGGAAGTTATCCAGTTCTCCAAGGACACACTCGAGAAGATCAACAAGGCCCGCTCTGAGGGAGTGTACCATGAAGTAAGTTATAGTATCTTTGATTTCTGGTTGCACTTGAATGGCAAGAAAAGCACACAGGCCTGGTTTTTGGGACTTCTGATTCTCAGAGCTGCTGGGCCAACTAGGTCAACACCTTGTGTTTTAACATTAGTTAACTAATACTGCAAACGCCAACCTGGCAGGAGGAAGTTTGTTAAGTCAATATTTATGGGACTGAAAATGAGTGACTATATTGAAATACAGTCCCTAGGATCTACTCCTTCCCTCTCAACTCAGTCATGCCCCTTTGTCCATTTCAGCCCTATTCAGGATACATCCTAGACCGGTCTTTAAGGCACTCTCCTGGGTGTCGTGGATTCAAATCTCATCAAGCAGACGTGTCTTCCATGCCCTAGATGAATGATGTAACCAGTGATCTAATGGTTACCAGGGTAGCAAATATGAAATGCAAGCTATGACGCTCTGTTGTAGTGGACACATGCTTTGTAGTGGACAGGAAGTGTAATGCTTTGGACAGGAAGTGTAATGATATTTTTTTTGCTCATGTTTGCCTTTCCTGATTGTGTAGGTGGTGAAGCTGTGCCGTGAATGTCTGAAGAAACAAGAACCTGTCTTGGGGGACACTAATATCTACTTGCTTAGGATCCTGAGCATTGTTTCGGAAGTGCTCTCATACCTCCAGATGTTCGAGGAAGCAGCAGACCATGCAAAAAGGATGGTTGATGGCTACATGTATGTGATCAAATTTCCCAGTGTTACGGTGGTTTGTTCTCATTATGTAATTTAGTCAGGCATTATATAAAGAATCTGGGCCTGACTGGCTCTCACATTACAATAGCATAAATCCAGAGCTAGGTTACTGAAACTGGCTGATCTATACTGTTATAAGACCTATGCTACTGCTGTTGGATTATATAATCAAGGGTAGAGGGGCAGTTTTAGGATCATAGGAAAATAGGCCTGGAAGGGACCTCACAAGGTCATCTAGTCCAGCTCCCTGCTCAAGGCGGGATCATCTCTGACTAAATCATCCCAGTCAAGTGCAGGACTGCACACTTTCTGACGGAAAAAGTCCTAAACAGGAATGTTTCAAAATGTATTGACATATAACATCAAAGTAGAACAGTTACAAGTTGAATTATCCTAACTGCTTTCCTGTCTGAGAAGATGCCAAAGACTGCTCAAATGGTGAATCAGAGAAATAAGACACAGAAGGAAGAGGCTCATAGTTAGGCACAGAACTTAATACATGTTTATCTTTGTAAGCAGATGTTCCCAGGATCAGGAAATTACCTTTGGATTGCACTGATGTTACTCAGAGCTTGCCTTCACTGGTAGAAGAGTTATGTTTTTACTTCAGGGTTAATTAATAATGTACCTGAGTCCTTAGGTAAAATCCACTGAAGACAAAACATGCTAGGGCATGGGCACACAATGAAGTTACTGTGAGGTAAAGGAGGGTGGGCTTTGCTGTTGCTCTCCCCTTCTCGCTTATCTAGTTTGTGCCTGTGCTTGTAATTGTTCACGGGCACGGCAACATGTGAGCCAAACATTTCCTGTTCTTCGTAGTAAGGTTAGTATGATTTCCACTTGGAGAGCCCCACCACAGTTGATGGAAATCGGCATTTGCTTCACGCATATTACACCTGCTTCTTTACTGACAAAACCAGTTTCCATTGCAAAACTAGTAACAATATGGAAAAGTAGGTTGGTTTTTAGTCTACTTAAACTAATGACTTCCCAGTTTTTAGCTCTTTTATTTTGACTCGCACTTAATTGACCTTAAAAGCAAATGAGCAATAAATTCCTAAAAAAAAATAAAAATCAGATTTTAAAATTGCTTTCAGAACTAGGTAACAGAAGTAGGAGAGGTGTAATACATGATACTTGTTGGGCACGTCTACATGTGCACTTTAATGTGCAGTGGCGCCTGTACACACCATGGTTTTTAATCCTCATTAAATTAAATAGGTTTATAAAGTTTAAACTTGTTTATTTTCGAGCATCACAGTGTTTACACACACTAGGTTTTCAAATTAATTCAGCCTTGGAGCGTCACATCTGTGTTTACACGCACTAGGTTTTTGAATGAACTAAGCTGAGTCCCTGGCCGGTGCTGCAAGAGAGCGGGATGGTCCAGGACTGCCCCCACAGTCCAGGGCCAACCCCACCCTCAGCCTGTGCCCTGCCACGCAGTTGACGAAGCAGGGAGCTAGCAAACCACACAAGAAAAAAAAAGTGGAAGCAATTTGAAGGAGTGAACTACACAAAAGTTGCAGCACCCTCTGGTGGGCAAAGAAGCTCATTACACATCTTTAAGTGCCTTTGTGTCTCCACACAATGAATCCATGGACATGACGCTTTAATTCCAGGCAAGCCAAACTAAACTATGTCCAAGGTGTTTTAGTTTAATGCACAGAGACTTTTAAAGTGTCAGGAAATCCTGCTTGTGCAAACAGACACACAATAGCAGAGCATGAAAGGGCAAAAATAGTGGCATGTAGATGAGCCCCAGTAGCCTATTTTATTGCACATTAAAGTGTCACATAAAAAACCCCCATGTAATTATGCTCATGCACAGTAAGCTAGGCTACTGTGTGTTAAACATAACTTTAAAAAAGGTGTGCTTTTGATACTGTGCATTAGGGTAGCCTAATGTGCATTTATTTAGTGCCTCACATTGATGATACTAAATTTAAGGAGCATTAGGAAAAGCTCATTAATGCATGTATAGATGTGCCTACTCATATTTACTTACTCGTGTCAAGTGGTATTTTCAAGCGGTTGACAGGCTTACATGAGACTACTCCTGAATTCCAACACTATTGGCTGTGACAGAATCAGGCCCTCAGTAAAGAAAGTTTTCATGAAACCAGACACAGGGAAAGTTTGACTTTCACAAAAATGAAGTTGCTCATTACTTTCCCAGGAAGATCTACCATCCCAACAATGCACAGCTAGGGATGGCAATGATGCGAGCAGGAGTGACTCACTGGCATGCTGGTCTCATTGAAGCAGGCCATGGCATGATCTGCAAAGCCTATGCCATTCTCTTGGTGACACATGGTCCTACCCACCCAATTACCAAAGACCTGGAGGTAAGTGAGCAATGTTTCCTGAGCAGGTCCTACCTGCCTTTACTGTGAAATGCGTCTGTGTCATCTGGTTGGGCTTTGTTGTACGTGAAGAAGTTAAATTCAAATAAAGAATAAAAGCAGCTGAAAATCTAGCATTAATAATATAAAGCTTGCTTCATACAGAGTGATGAAAGTCCATTAGATTTTATTGCAGCTGGTAAGGAGAATAAAATTTCCTTGTTACGGGAAATGTCCATATTGGCTTCCATCTTAAATTGGGATAAAATATCAACATATTGGGAATTCTTGTAAACAGTTCTGGATCTCTTTTATTGGGACATGTTGAAACAAAGTCTTATTTTGAAA